TCTTACGAGCCAGAAGAACATATATAAGAATATATATAAATGCGTAAGCATGCGTAAAACATGCGTAAACTAGTGTGTGTGTTAACTAGTAGGGTGGTCAAACTCTGTTGTGGGAGGATTCACACACCACGTTCAATGTTATCAGCAGATAGTCTTATTAGATCAGAGTTTTAGCTGAACTACTGAAGAAAATGTTTCACACGCTATTGGGTTCATGTCAGGTGAATTTGGAGGCCAAGGCATTAACAGAAATTCTGATGATTCTGGCAGTGTGGCATGGTGCATTACCCTGTTGGCAATGTCCATCACCAGCAGGGAACACAGTTGCCATGAATGGGTGCACTTGGTCTGCAACGATGTTCAGATACCTGACAGCTGTCAGGGATTGCGCTATTGGGATATTGGGGCCTAAAATGTCCCAAGAAAACATTGTCAACAGCATAACACCGCCACCGCTGCTGGCCTGTGTCCGCCCAACAGTGCATCTGAATGCCCAGTCACTGACATATGTTTGCCCACCCAACAGATCAAACCGCATTTAGAAAACTAACCGCAGCTGGTTTCAGTTTGACTCAGAAGATAAAGCTTAGTAAAGCTGGTACTGTGAGATCAAAACATGGTTTTAAAGGTGACATATCATAAAAATCTGACTTTTTCCATGTTTGAGGGTGCTTTCACACTAGCACTTTTGGTGCGCACCCGGGTGAACTCTGTCTTCCGAACTAGGGTGCACACCCACGAACTGCACCCGAGTCCGCTTAAAAAGGGTGGTCTGGGGTACGGTTCCTGTGAACTCCAGTACGGTTCGCTGCTGATATGAACGCAATTGTATCAAATCGCGCAAGTGAACTGCTATTAATAATGTGTTATTTGATAAAATGTGTGTTTGTGTATGAGTTTCACTCACTTGGCTGACGCGCTGCAAGCAGAGAGCTGTATATCTCATTTCTGTTTGCCTTCAGCATTCTTTAGAGCATTTGCAGTACGTTCGTAAGACAGACGTAAGTGTTGTTATGTACTGAAGCTTTGGAAACAAAACCAACGATTCAAAAACATAAATATATAAAAGTGAGGAGAGCAATGTTATGCATTTTGCCTCTCAGATTTTGCTCCCCCCGCCCCATGACGTTGTAAGGGGATCTTATTAGAATATTACCACCCCTTGATTTGCACGTTTCCACCCACGGTGCCGCCATTCTGTTTTCACAAGCGACAACGGTGTACCAGTTCTAACGCCATTGCGAAAGTTCGAGCAAAGCATGCTAACTGTTCTGTCTTTGGTTGCACTGACGAGCACAGAACACTATTTAAATTCCTAGCCTCAAGAGGAGACAAGAAAGCAGTGGATTTATTGATTTATTTACTGTATATTACGCTGCTGCCAGACAGATCTAATATAAACATGCGATTTATTTCCCTGCTATTTACCTCCACAGACATAACCGACTGGTTTTGTAACTCATGTGTGTTTTTAACATAAACTTGTGTATATTTGTCAATTTAAGCGCAATAAGACATGAAAGAAAACTTAGTTTAGTACTCACAGTCCATGTGACAGACACTTTCTGTGCACGTGCTTCGGAAGCTTAAACTGATGTGGATTTAAAACGCATGATTTCAGCGTGCAAGACATGATAATCAAAACCAAGATGTTTTTTTGGCAGAATATCTGAGGTACAAGTTGTAAAGGCACAGCCCTAATTCTGGAAAAGGGGTTGGGGAGCAGCAGCTCATTTGCATTTACATGCACAAAAACAGCCTGTTTCTGCTTCCACTTAAAATAGGCATTTTCAACAATACATAAATGATCTGTGGGGTATTTTGAGCTGAAACTTCACAGACACACACTGGGGACACCTGAGACTTATACTGCATCTTGTAAAAAGGGGCATAATAGGTCTCTTGCAATTTTGGAACAGGAGCCCGCCGTGGGCTAAACTCGGGAACAGGAGCCCACTCTGGGTTGGATTCGGGGACTGGGAAGCGCTTACGAGAAGCTGGCACTGGAGGGCGCTCTGGAGGAGCAGGCACAGCAAGGCCCTTTCGAGGAGCTGGCACTGGAGCGAACTCAGGGGCTGGAGCCGACATTGGAGCGAACTCAGGGGCTGGAGCCGACACTGGAGCGAGCTCTGGGCTGGAGTGAGCCACGACCGGCGGGCATGACTTCGGAGCGGCCGGTGGGCTTGAGGGAGCTGCAGCCAGCGGGCTTGACTTCGGAGCGGCCGGCGGGCTTGAGGAAGCCGCAGCCGGCGGGCTTGACTTCGGAGCAGCCAGCGGGCTTGAGGGAGCCGCAGCCGGCGGGCTTGAGTGAGCAGCGGCTGGCGGACTTGAGTGAGCAGCGGCTGGCGGGCTTGAGTGGGGAATGGCCGGCGGGCTCGACGGCGAGCTGGTTCTGGCTCGGGCCAGGACACTCCCCAGAAACCGGAAGATCCCTTCTCTCTAGCATAGTCCATTGGTGTATGGGAGGTCCACGGGGCGATCGCAGTTGGCCCCGAGCCAGAACAGAGAATTGACGGTGGCATCATCCAATGCCGTTGCTGCGGCGAGCCCGCAGAATTCCCAGGCGTACTTGAAGAAGGGGAGATCTCGGCGGGCTAAGGCGGAGAACCGAACGTCTATTTCCATCACCGCGGGGAGAAACAAACAGGAAACAAAAAACTTTTAAAAAAACCCATAGACCTGACAGAAAGGAAGGAACTAACAGGAACTTAAATACACAGGATCATTAACAAGCACAGGTGGCAGGAATCACAATGAAACTAAACGAGAACAGGAAAAAGACCATATATTGAAAACCCCGGATCAAAGACAGGGGTAAAACAAGAAAAAACAAGTCCAAAACACTGACAATATCATATGCAATGTTGGGCAGTAACTAGTTACTAGTAATGCATTACAGGAATAATATTACTTTCCCTGGTAAATTGTAGTGTAAGTAATTACTAATAAAATTTAAGTAATAATATTACAGTTACCATCCAAAAAAATGTCTAATTAATTTTTTGTCACAATTGCTAATGATTTGAAATTTAAAAATTCAATCATCCCTATCAATCTTCTTAATCGTTTTCGTGCGCGTACACACGTGACGTCACCAATACAGCAAGCTAGCTTAGTCGGAAGATGGAGAAGCCCACATCATATAGTGGCTGGAAATACAGCCATTATTTAAGTTTTGTAGGGAGAAACGATGACAAAAACATCAATGTCACATGTAAACTGTGTAGTGGTACTAAGACTGTCTACAGCAATGCCAACATGCTTAGTTGGTCATCAGATTTTACTATGTTGCTGCTTTACTAAATAACAGAAGTTAAAAAATGTGTGGCTTGCCATAAGTTTGAGCCAGTTGTACTCTACATTTATCTGTAACTTTCATGGATTCAAAGACTGCAGAAATTATGCAATTACCAATTTTTTGAGGTGTAATGGAAAAGTAATGTAACTAGTAGTGTAACTAATTACTGTTGACAGGGGTGCTGTAAGGGGGGGTGACAGGTTAGGACGATTCCAAGCCTCGGCCTGACGATGGAGGGGGCAGAGTGAATATGCTGTTCAGGGGGTCCAGAAACCATAGCGGTGCACCTGACTGTTGGCTGGGAGTAATAAGTAATAATATTACTTTAGAAATTAGTTACTAGTAATGAGTAATATATTAAATTTTTTGAGTAATGAGCCCAACACTGATCATATGCAAATGCAGGATAGGAGGGTCAAACGCTGTCAGGGGAGGATTCACACAACCTTTTAACTGTTCTGCTGTTAGATCGCACACTGAACCACTGAAGAAAATGTTTCACAAGTTTGTCTTGTTCTGTTTGTGCTACTGGACTCTGAGTGGTAAGTTTATAAAATAATTTTCAAGGTTTATTTATTTATTTATTTATTTTAATTTTGGAGTAATAAAGCTATTCTCATCTTTTGTAATGTACCAAAAGAATTGTGAATTTTGTATGAATATAATACAAGATCTACCAATTATGAATTCAGGTCACTGTTGGGATTAGGGTTAGGAAGTGTTCATTGACATTTCCAGGTCGGGAAAAGGTCATGAAAATAATGGAAATCCCAGTGTAAATGCAGTGTAAATGTTCAGAAAGTGTGAACTTGTCAAATATCTGGCATGTTTTTTTTTGTAGAGCATATTTAATAAATATACATATTTAAAAAATACTTCTGCAGTGATCATGAACATCTACAAATGTCATAAAAATGTACTACTCAAAAAGCGCAAGGACTTTATAGTCCATAGGAGACTACCCAGTGATCTAATGATCTAAATCTCCCATTTATTAAAAAAAAAAAATGTATTTAAAATATCGAGCACAATTAAAACAGTACTTTCAATCTGCAATAATTATCATAAAATAATGTCAAAAATCTTGATTGTCAGTTAGGATGTTACATTGTGGATTGTGGTTTTTCAGGAGCTCTAGGTACATATATACACACATATACATTTATAACACGAGAACAGAAAGAACATTTAAATAAGTAAGACTAAGAAAAATAAAATACTAATGTGATATACATCTGGGTCTGAAAAAAATCTGTACATATTTGTACATTATGTATATACATATGTGTTTAATCTATTAAATAGCGCTGCTGCAACAGTCTCTCTATTATGGTAACAGTTAGCAGTTTACAATAGCTGTTTTGAAAGTGTTTTTTTGTTTCTGTTGTTCTCAACTTCACATGTGAATGAAGCGGATTTCAGGCTTTGTAAATCTTCAGAAGCTTTAGTCTGTGTAAAATCTTTTTATACTCTCCAGGTGTGTTTGGTGATTTAGTGTCAGTGATGGAGGGAGATTCTGTCACTTTAAAAACTAATATTGAAGTATGTGATGGTGATGACATACTGTGGAAATATGGAGCTGGAAAGTCTCTCATAGCTAAAATGAAGAAAAAGAAGCACATTGTCTCCACATATAATGTTACTGATGAGAGATTCCGAGACAGACTGAAACTGGACAAACAAACGGGATCTGCGACCATCACAAACATCACAACTCAACTTGCTGGAGTTTATCAACTAGAGATAGCTGGAGCGAATCTGACATTTAAAACATTCAACGTTTCTGTCTATGGTGAGTAGAGATAATTTGTTGAAATGTTCACATTCTATTTACATAGTCAAATGTTTATTCGTTTTATATTTTGAGATGACAGACACATTCAGTGATCGTCAACAACACACTAAACACTCACTCAACATTCATTACACAAATTCACTACAATTCACAACGCTGAAAATAAGCTGATTGTTCTGTTCATATTTCTCTTTTTCTCTCATGTTTCTCAGCTCGTCTGCCTGTTCCTGTCATCAGCAGTAACTTTTCAAACTGTTCTTCGTCATCATCACAGCAGAATTGTTCACTGGTGTGTTCAGTGGTGAATGTGAGTGATGTGACTCTCTCCTGGTACAAAGGAAACAGTTTATTGTCCAGCATCAGTGTGTCTGATCTCAGCATCAGTCTCTCTCTACCTCTGGAGGTGGAATATCAGGAGAAAAACACCTACAGCTGTGTGCTCAACAATCCCATCAGCAACCAGACTCAACATCTGGACATCATAGGACTTTGTCAAACATGTGCAGGTACGACAGTGCCAATATGTGTTTATTTACTGAGCTGATCTCTGTCTTCTGTTGTAGATCAGACTGATTCAATCACTTACATTAATGACTGTCTCTCTTTCACTCTCCTTCATACCCTCCAGATTCAGTTTCTCTGATAGTGCTGGTTTCTGCTGCTGCTGGATCTCTGTTGATTGTAGCTGCAGTCGGGATCTTCTGCATCTGCAGGAAACACAGAAAAACTGATCAAGAAGGCAAGTATTATCTTCTCCTTTCAAACAGGTAAAATTAGAAATAATTCTTCAAAAATATGTTCTAAGTATTTTGCCAACTGATAGCCCTATTTTATCATTTAATTAAAATTATTCTCATACCCAGGTGAAAAACAAGTGCACTTCCATAATGTACTTAAAGTGTTCTATTTTCGCGCACTAATTTTGTACTTAATATAGTAACAATTATTCTTTAGTACTTCTTAAGATAAACTTAAGATCATCTAAGTGTACTCAACTATTTTTTGTGTTTTTTTTTTTTGGTTTTGTGGTTTTAATGCATCTGTTTTTGTTAAAACAGTTGAGACTTGTGAAGTAGAGATCACTTATGCCGAGACGGCATTCTACAAAAGAAACGCACAGAAATCGGTAAGACAATTTATTGTTACTATGTTGAGTATAATTGGTAGCACTTTACAGTAGGGTGTTATTTGTGAACATTTGTTAATTTTTTTAACTAACATGAACAAACAATGAAAAACACATTTACTACAGTATTTTTTTAATCTTTGTCAATGTAGGTAATAAAAAGTTTAGTTGTTCATTGTTAGTTCATGTTAGTTCACGGTGCATTAACTAATGTTAACAAACACAACTTTTGATTTTAATAATGCATTAGTAAATGTTGAAATAATATTAACTAAGTTTAATAAATGCTATAACAGTATTGTTCATTCTTAGTTCATGTTAACTAAAGTAGTTTACTAATGTTAACTAATGTTAGCATTTCCACCCCATAAGAAAAAAAAAATCATGCTCTGGTAAATCATAATTATGACAACATTAGAAATTATGACATACTAAATCGAAATTATGAGATAAAAAATTCTAAATTATAATTTAAAAAGTTTAAAATATACAAAGTTTAAATAATGAGATTAAGAAGTTCAAATGATCACTTAAATGTCGAAAATTATGTCATACTAATTTTTACTTGTGTGTATCATAATCTAACCTAAGCATGTCATAATTTGGAAATTTAATCTCATAATTTTGACTTTCTATGTAACTTTTTGATTATGATTTACAAGAGCTTTATTTATTTATTTTTCTTATTTGTCGGTTAGGCCTGTCATGAGAACTACTTTTTAGGCAATGTATTGTCCTAAAAATAACTGTGATATTATTGGCATTTTAAGACCACTTTATGCCACTGAATATATAATGATAATATAACAGCATAATAATGCAAGTAGTGCATGCATAATATTGCATGCACAAGATGCTACAAAAGACAGTCAAACACATCCATCTAATGCACGTTTACATAGAAAAGCAATGGGGGAAAAACAGCAAAAACAGCAAAAAAATGCATTCTCTCCTTTGTGAAACTCCCTTAACGCTAGCTGTGAAAGAGCACTATTTTGCGTAGTTACATTTATATATGTACCAGAACAGTGAATTGCGGCTTTGTGTCGATTTGGACTTATTCTTCAATACTAGAGTCTGGAGTTGTAAGGAAAACACTATAAAGCTTCAAATGATGCCTTCTTTTCACCTGCTGATGTCCGCTCTTCACATAGTGACAAAATAATATAATTATCTATCACATGAATCCCACACACAACTGCACAATGTGTTTATAAAAGACTTGTTATTATTATTGTTATTAATATAACTATTATTATATGTTGTGTTATGCATTTTTTACAGAAAGCTGAAGAGGAGAGTCATGTGGTATATGCACCAATCACAATCAGATGATGATCAAACGTAATGTTGTTCTAAGTACAAATACACTTATTGTCAGATCATTTTCATTGGGAACCTCCCTGCAATGACCTCAGCCACTATGGTCTATGGATGAGCATTTTCACTGCAGCATTTTCGTGTTTGCAAAACATAGATGCGAACTAGTTATCAAAAGGTGACAAAGTGAACTCTGCTGTGGTCTGGATTATCTATATCTGTACAGACATGTGGTTTGAGCTGTGCATGAGAATGTGTCTGCTGCTGGATGTTTGCATTTGATGGCAGTTCGTTAGCGTGTGTCTAAGGTGTCAATAGTGTCTGTTTGAGTGTGTATCTGTGCAAGTGTGCGTCTGAGGTGTCGATAGTGTGACGGTGCGAGTGTGTCTGAGGTGTCAGTCTGTGTGATCAGCATGTCGTTGCAAGGATTTTTCATTTATGCTCACATGAAACCTTTGACTTCTGCACTACAGGGAAGCCACTTTACTTCAAAATACTAAAACCATTAGTGCTGATTCTGGACAAAAAGGTCTCAAATCAGGTGATATTAGTATGAAAAAATAAAATATTATATACTTTGAATGTTTGGATGATCGTATACAGTGAACCTGAAGTTAAGCAGTACAACACTCTCAGAAAAAAAGGTACAAAGGTACCTTTTCAAAAGGTACACCTTTGTATCTTATTTACCCCTTACAAGGGCGCATATTAGTACCTAAATGGGCCATAAGGGTAACACACAAGTTAGAGCTTGAACCTTTTTATTCTTAGTTTCAGTATTTATTTCTAAGCAGAACTATACTTGATCCTGTTTTTTTTCTTATAAATGTTATATCCCGTTTTTTTCTGCCAGTGTCTGGGTCATTTATTGAATAAATTCACTGTATGATTTACAATTTATGATTTGTGTTTGATGGTGGTTAATCGTTTACTTTGTTTGCATCAGCTTTGATGAGAAACTAACAAACTAGTTTTTTTTTTTTTTTTTAATAGCATAACAGGACTCTTTACTCTATAGGTAAAACAATGTTTGAAATTTAGTGTCAGATTAAGACCATAATCAGATAGAAAATCTCACCTTAAGTTTCCGATGATAGTTGTAAATATCAGACAAATATGTTGACTGCTCAAGATATCTGCTCCAGTTCCAGTTCGGTAACGCCACCTGAGGATCAGGGAACACAACATGAGTGATGGGGTGAAGGAGTGTTATCCAACTAATGATACAAACCACTTGTTTTTTAATCTTAAAAAAAAAGCTAGATCAAGTGGTTAGTGCATTGTTCGCGTAAATTTTAGTACCTATGCTAGTGTGCTCTGAGTGGGTGGTTGTTTACTGGTCAAAAGAGCCCACATGACTGATATGATAGTCTCTGCCTGTGTCCCAATGTGCATACTATCCACCCTATCTGACCTAAATAGTACTAAAAATGACTAATATCACATATAATTTAGGATGGATAGTATGCACATTGAGACGCAGGCTCTGTCATATTCTGGTCTGTAGAAATGTTTCAGAGGGACTTTTCACCCGATTCATCGTCCAGCAGGTGAAAACCATAAGTCTGGTCACTTTAAATAACAGCACACCTCTCCTCAGCAACACACGGGAACGCAGGATGAGGAATCATTTGTGTCTGCAACACGGGACTGAAACTTTTTGCAGTAAGCCAACACACCGATAAATACATCTGCGTTCATTACTAAGAAAAATGTCACAAAGACGCTACTTATCACACAAAATATTATTTCAGTCAAATAAAGAGCATCAAATGTGTCGAGGATTTCACGCTACACGATAATAAAACATTAATACACGTGTGCAGTGGCAGTAAATGAGCCACGCTGTTGTTTGTAACACACCCGCAACACGAATACTAGCACTAGCATCGATTCGTCTGCTAGGAGATTTGGGTTTTGTGTGTATAAAACCAGGTTGGTCTGCAAAGCTGTCTTGTTTTTTCGCTTTATATAAATGACATGCCGCATCAAAAGTATGTGTCTCCACCTAATGTTTCTGTATTATAAACATAAAACCGCCCTACATGTATAGAAACCCACAGAAAGTAGATATACACACCCTCAAAAACGAAACTAAAACGCATTTCACCACTAGAGGACGAGAGTCGTTTCCTTTTTCTTCTAAGGTTTAGTGGCGGTTGACAAACAACGAGCTGGAGCATTACCGCCACCAACTGGTATGGATTAGAATGTCTAAATACAGCAACAGAACAGTGTCCTATAAAGCATTTTATAAAGACAAACACAATTCACCTTTTTCTAAAATTCCAAGGGCCATTTAGCCAACTTTTTGGCAAACAAGCAAACTTGAGACAACTTTTTTTGTGTACAAAAATATTATTTATTAACACAATTTATTAAAAACATGAACTAGGGTGACTCCCGTTGATGACTCCTGTCAAAATGCTCCCGCTCACTGATAAAAAAAACTCAAGTTGGATAGTTGTAGAAAGAAATGGTTATTTGTGAATAATGGCAGGATGTCATGTTTTCCTTTATAGTATCCTTACAGTATTATTACAGTATGACCTTATGTAAATGACAGGTCCTCGCAGAAATTTCTACTCAGCCTTTAGGATGGACAGATTTTCCATAAAAGCAAGGGCACAGATAATGGACTACCAGAGAAAGAATTGAGATTGATCACACACCCCAAGTAGCCAAGTATCATTTCACATGTTTAGCTTTTTCCAACAAAATGAAAAGTGTCTCTTCTATAATAACCACAAAAACAATTATTTTTAGAGCAATGGTCTCACGTTATGGATAAACTATTTGACATTTAAAACAATGTGAATCTAACATCATGCAGAGCACAGCTAAAACTGTAAAAAGTACATCCATGATGAATTTGATCTGGTCACTGTGGGTGTGCTGTCCAGAATTGAAGTCAGGTGAGAATGGATTGCATCAATCTGCTCCTGATCTTCTATGTATACCGGCACAGGTGCTGACTTAGCAGAATGCTTGGGGAAAAGTGTAAAGCCACTTTGAATTCTTTTGGCCACTGCCTTGCCTTTCAAAAGAAAGAAAACATTTTAATTTGCTGACCCCCCAATACGACAACTCTAGTTAGTGACAATAAACAGGCAGATTCATAATTAAAATGTTTTAATTTCATTTAAATTGTTTGAGGGTTCAGCACGATGTAGAGGGAATACTGTTGACGTTATATGTAGGAACATGGCAATCGTTTCTTAGCTGTGGACCAAAAGATATCTCTGTGCTGGTCATCTCTAAAACCAGGTTTGATTACTATACAGGGAGACTAGAAGGAGGATCTCTCTTCAGAGTGGCTTCAGTACCTATAGGGATACATAAGCAATGGTTATGGCCAGGGAGTATAAAAACGTGTTATGACAATCCATTTCACATTTGCGTTATCACAATCCCTCCAAACCACAAAGTTTAATAATTACTATATTCTTATGAGCTACACCATGTAAATCTTACACATAACAGATAATGATCTGGGCCAGTGGCTTGTGTTCATGCAGGGAACACAAGGGCATCTTTCATGAAAGCATTATCCTAAAAAAACACAAATAACACCAGTAAAGAATACCTATTATTTTACTTCTGACTTATGGTAGATGTCAAATAGTATGATGTATGCATTCAATACTCACTGGAGAGTAGGCTAGGGGATTGTGGCAATAACATGCATGTTGGCAGTGTAACTTACATGTCTTTGCCCTGTGAGAGTAAAAGGAAAACTTAAGCAGACTACCACTTGCCATTCAAATATGAAATGAAGAAACTCTCTAAAAAGTCTCAAATAAACTACAGCTGATATAAAATAATGTGAAAAAAATGTGTACTTCATAGACGAGTTTCATGCAGGCATTTCCCATCTGCAAGAGAAACAATCAAAATAGCTAGCACATAGACTTGTGCCGGTATTCGGTAATGCGATATATCACGGTAATGAATATGCACGATATTGTTATCGTGGGCACTTCTAAATACCGTGAATAATTATATATTACAAATCATTCAGAATTTTGAATGCATTTTAAGAATACTTTTCCCATCAACTGGTCAAAATGCACAATGCCGCTGTATGCTGCGTGAAAGATGCATGCGCACTCTGAGGTAATCAAGCCGGACAAGAAGCACATGGCGGAACATGTCAGAGACGCTCTGGATGAAAGTGTACTTTCACTCTCTGACAGCAGATGGCGCTAAACTGCAGAAATAATTTTCAAACCTTTTTTACATTTTAATCTGGACTACAACATGCCCTAGATATTGTTTGAAAGTGTTTTGATTCTTTATTGTTCGGTCACACTTTACATTAGGGCTTCATTAGTTAACATTAGTTAATTCATTATTTAACATAAACTGCCAATGAAAAATTCTTCTGACCATTCATTAATCTTAGGTATTCCAATATTTAATAACACGTTGTTAAAATTGAAAGTTGCAACTGTGTTATTTAATGAGCTAACATGAACTTAGACTTGTATTTTTTAAACAAAGATTAATAACTTCTGTAGCAAATGTAGCTATTGCTGATTGTGAGTGTTAATGCATTAACTTAGGTTAACTAATGAGGTCTTATTTTAAAGTGATACCTATTGGTCTTTATTGTTCTTTTGCACTTTAATCTGTGTAAAACTTTTAACTTTATACATTTTTCTGTATTGCTTTATTGCATTTAAATGTTGTTATTTTTGTTATAAAAAAAGTTATTAAACCTGTTATACTGTATTATGACAGCACTTTAAAAATTATTATTATTTTTTAACAATATCGTGATAATACCGTATACCGTGATAAAAGTATTAGCAATTAATCACAACATGAAAATTCGATACCAGCATATCCCTACTAGCACACACACAAAAGTCTAAACTCTTTAAACAAAGAAAACAAATAGCATAACGTTACATGCAAATGTTACTACTTACATCTACCTGACCGTCAATAAGTACATTTATAGAAATTTTTAGACTTTAATACGACTATAGACATTTATATCTATTAATATATTCAAATTAATTGACATCGACTCTTAGCTAATCATTTAACTATAAATGTTGCAACGTTGCACGATTGCTGAACAAGAATAACTTTAGCGATTATTTAACATACCTCTTATTCGTGTCGCTTCTGTTCTGATGGCTCATACTGTACAGCCTCCCCCTACTGGACGCATCAGAAACAACAGGGGCGTAAAACTTCCTGGGCCGTAGATCTGCCTTCTCCAGGCCTGCAGCCTCCCCCTACTCATTATAACACATCTTTTGACTCCATTCACAGAAAATCTTTTAAATCACAACGACTTTTCAGCTCTCCCTAAGTTTTGGATTAAACGCTTTATTATTATTATTATTATTATTAATATTATTATTATTATTATTAATTTAATACATCATTAATACATAACGTGTGCACACCACCACAAACAGTATGCATACTAGAGCGCCATCTAGTGACATATCTAGGAATTCAACATTCAAAGAATTCTGAAACACAAACCAATACAGCTGCTTTAGGATCTTTTTGCTAAGTAAAAAAACAAACAAACTACATAACATGAAAACTGTGAATATATGACTATGTATGATGAACAACAGATGTAATTTAGACGTTTAATCACATAAACATTGATACAAATGCAATACAAACATGGTCAACTAAAGTTCAAACATGCTGCCTTGATATTTAAAAAAAAAAAAAGTTTTCCAAAACTGAACACTGAAGATCTTTATACTCACAAGTGATAGTAACATTAAAGCTCTTAATGGTGTCAGTACTGCTGCTGTTTCTGCTGCTGGTGATCTGCAGTTTATAAAGTCCAGAGTCTGTGATTGTGATGTTTGTGATGGTCAGAGATCCAGTCTGATGATCCAGCTTCAGAAGTTGTGGCCTAATGGTTAGAGAGTCGGACTCGTAACCCAAAGGTTGCGGGTTCGAGTCTCGTACCGGCAAGGATTGTAGGTGGGGGGAGTGAATGTACAGCGCTCTCTCCCACCTTCGATACCACGACTGAGGTGCCCTTGAGCAAGGCACCGAACCCCCAACTGCTCCCCGGGCACCGCAGCAAAAATGGCTGCCCACTGCTCCGGGTGTGTGTTCACGGTGTGTGTGTGTTCACTGCTGTGTGTGTGCACTTTGGATGGGTAAATGCAGAGCACTAATTCCAAGTATGGGTCACCTTGGCCACATGTCACGTCACTTCACTTCACTTCACTTCACTTCAGTCTGTCTCTGAATCTCTCAGTGCCATTTTTACACTAAACATCTGTACAGACATATCTGAGATCTCCACTGATTTTAGCAATGTGAGTGTCATTACAAAACCATCAAATCTCTTCTGTATCAACACCAAAAACAAATGAACAGATTATTTTAAATCACTTCATGGATAATAATAAAAATAATAAAGTTCTGGACTCCTTTTTAATGGTTAAAATAAATTGTATTAATCAAAAAGCATGTCTAATTAATTAAAATCATGAAACTTAAACAATTTAACATCAATTTATTAACAAGTTTAACAAATATTACGCTTAGGGCCCTATGAAATGTTTTATTTTTTCCAACCTTATGTTTTATTGTTACCAAATTCTGTTTTAGCAGGTTTAGCAATTATTTGAAAGCATAAAAACAAGTTTCATTTATTCTTAAAATAGCCTTATGATTTTTTGCTCAGAAATTCTGTGTTGTGTATTTAAAAAAAATTTTTAAGGCATAAAACATTAATTTAATCTATCTTTTAAGTAATGAAAATTAAACACATTTTATTTTGGGGAAAATAAAGGTCATTTAATATTACAATTAAAACACTGAAGAAATATTGTATGCTTATTCCTTAAAAATAAGGTTTTTAATCATTGTAATAGTAGTAGTAGCATCCTGTTACATACATTCTAGGCCTACTGAACAATAGTAATATATTTCTGCCGCAATGCCTTCAAGTTAAACCGAACTTTTATTTTGACGGGTTGCCGTGAATACCTTTACATTTCTGTGTGGATATGAGGATAGTTTTACTCAAATGATATAGTCAAATGCTCATGAAGTGACTCTCAGAGCAGTTCTGGAGATGTTGTTCACGTATTTATGTCCTCATTTATGTCCAAATCACCCAAGCCTC